TGAGCAGTTAATTTGACTTCCCAGGATTGAAGGTGTTGGGCAGTTGATTTGCCTTCCCACAACTCAAATACTGAGGACTTGATTTACCTTCCCAGGACTCCAGGGTTGCGCAGTTGATTTGGTTTCCCAGGCCTGAATTGTTGGGCAGTTGAATTACCTTCCCAGTACTCATGTGTTGGGCAGTTGATTCGCCTTCCCAGGACTCAACGGTTGGGCAGTTGATTTGCTTTCCCAGGCCTCAAATGTTTGGCAGTTGAATTACCTTCCCAGTAATCATGTGTTGGGCAGTTGATTTGCCTTCCCAGGACTTAGGCGTTGGACAGTTGATTTCCCTTCCCAGGACTCAAGTGTTGAGCACTCGACTCGCCTTCCCAGGACTCAAGTGTTGAGCAGTTAATTTGCCTTCCCAGGACTTAGGTGTTGCACAGTTGATTTGCCTTCCCAGTACTCAAGTGTTGAGCACTTGATTTTCCTTCCCAGGACTCAACGGTTGGGCAGTTGATTTGTTCTCCCAGGCTTCAAGTGTTGGGCAGTTGAATTACTTTCCTAGTACTCAAGTGTTGGGCAGTTAATTTGCCTTTCTAGGACTCGAGTGTTAGGCGGATCTGACTTCTCAGGACTCAAGTGTTGGGCAGTTGATTTGCCTTCCCAATACTCCAGCAAACCAGTGTTGGGTAGTTGGTTTGTCTTCCCAGGACTCAAGTAGGTGTAGTGTTGGCCAGTTTATTTAGCTTCCCAATACACCAGCAAATCAGTGTTGGGCAGTTGATTTGCCTTCCCAGGACTCAAGTAAATTTAGTGTTGGGCAATTTATTAAGCTTCCCCGGAGCGTCTCAGAAACTCGTGTAAAGTGCTCCCACGCCCGAATTTTCTTACCAGAAATTGATCTGAGTGTCTCTAAAATGTCCTGCGTTCCCTCAATCAGTTAGAGCTGAAAAGTCTAATCAGGTTTTCTACTCCTGGTGATGATTGAAAGTTCCTTTTAGGTTAATTCTGACTGTCTTGAAAATGTAACAACCGTTTTGAAACTTCCCAGTAAAACTCAAAAGTGTTAAAAAAGTTCTGAACATTTTTTTTCACCATATCAAATTTTCAATACTGTCGTTCCAAAAAAAAGTTTTCCGGTATCTAGTTGTCATGCGTTAATTACTGTCGTTGATCAGGGGCATTTACCTTTTGGTCTTCAACAAAAAAAAAAATTCGTTCCCCCTACCCGATCCGACCAGACCATTTACTTTATCTCGAGTCTACTATGCGGTGCATTCGCATTCCAATTCTTGTCTTTATTTTGGTCAGAATTGAATTTGGTTAAAGTTATGTATTCAAATCGACCATGCCGATTGTATGGTTACAGTAATAAGGCCCCCGTTTTTACAATTTCCAATCACCATCCTTTATCTCAACCAACCCCCTGTCTAACCTCCCCCCTATCTAGCACCCCACTTAAGCCTAAAAACCCTTTAAGCGCGATGGGTGCTAAACTACTGAAACGAAAACCCGTAGAACCTGTTTACAAGCTCTGCTCAAGTAAAAACGTTTGCTCAAAATTGCGGGGTGCCGTTTATTCACGTTTAGACCTATTTCTTTCAGTATATTATGGATTTTAACGATAACCGTTTGACCAAACAGCCCACTCCGGTAATCCCCTCTATTTGTCACACTGCATTTTGGTCACACTACTGGTAGTTTGTTCCCAATAGCGTCCTCTTTATATTCACAGGTCTCTGTTCTCCTAACCACTTTTTTATCCAACTGGTCACCTCTTCCAGTGAAGTCTCCCAGTGGTTCTCCAGGGTTGCAAGGCTATCTGAAAACCCTTTCAGCGTTCCGAAATCGGACACCTGCTAAATATTCGAAATCTTATTTGAAAACAGTATAAAAAAACTATCAATTAATATAAAGGTCTGATCCACCTAATCTTGAAATCAGAGTAACTGTCCATTTTTTTCTCTTCCTATTTCTTATCCTTTTTCTATTTTTTCTTCCGCGTTATGTCTTTTGATCGTTTTTTGTTCGGCCAGTGATCCCACATACTCGGTTAGCTAAGCCTCAATTCCGAGAGCGCACCGAGAAGTTTTTCGCAAGTTTTCTTAAAAAACTATCACGGTACGATCAGAAGGTGGACATGTTCTAGTTGAGACGTACCAACGGTACTCTAGAATGGGCATACAGCCCGGAGCTGCATCAAGCGGGTTCGATCTCGTAGTCTTGATGTCGTGAAATACCCAGGAGCGCCATAAAAAGACTATGTAACAGTCATTCGCTTATGTCACATACGAGGTTAAGAAAAATAAGCCTTTTACATTGGCTCAAGGGTCACGGACACAACTTCTTGTGTTTTTGTACCTCACTCTGTCGGAGACAATTCGGTTCGCGCAAGACATGGGACTACAAAATTGTGTTACAGCTTAAGGCCACTACCAAAACAACCCCCCACTCTAGAAGTAAGAACGCCCCCATGGCTAGGTCTCTAAATACCTAAAACACGCGGGTGGAAGCAATCGGGGCTGAAAACTCAAGTATACCATGAGTTCTTATATGACAAGAAACGGTTGATCGATTTGAAATCTATCAACCTAAAACCCGCCTTATCTCAACATAACTGTGTGAAAATAAACTCAGAAAAATGACATGAGTACTCTCATAATGACGCAATTCTAGAATCAAGTAAATAATCTAACTAAAGCAACAATAGAAGTTTCAGAGAATAACTAGTTTTAACTCAGGAAGTTTGTTGTCCTGGGCAGCTTCACGCGTCTACCTGACGAATCCAGGTTTCGGTTTTTTCAAAAATAAAGGTTTCGAATCGATGCGAATTTTTCAAAGTTTACAGTTTCCCCAAAATCAAGGTCAAACTTCAGGATATGACCGATTGGCACTAAATGAAGGAAAAGAATTTATAGTTCGAATTAAAATTTTCATGACAACAATTTTAATGTCGGTTCCAATGGAGTTTATCAATGTTTTGTCGGCTCAATTGCCTCTCAGAATTTTTTTTTGAGCGTCAACTTGCTCTTCTGTGACATTCGACCAAATTGTTTGAAAATGCAGTTTCGCAATCGAATTTTTATCGATCAGAAAAAGAACATCTAACAAGGAAGATTGATAGTTTTAATGGATTAGCAGCGTTATTTGAACGAGTAGACAAATCGGGAAGGGTTAGTTATAACTGACATGCTAATTTTTATAATATCGATTTGGACGTGAACGACACGTAACCTTTTTATATTTCACACACACTGAAACGGCGAAACAGAAGAACAATAGTACTGCAGGGATATCGATTCGAATCCGAGTATTCGACCCGAATACCGAGTATTCGGCACTTCGAAGCCGAATCCGAATATTAAAATTTTGAAATCCGAATATCGAATCCGATTATTTTTTTTTTTGCCGAATACCGAATAATCCAGGGTCCACTGCTAAAAAACCCGAATATTCCGAATATTGGTTTACTGTTTTGTTTCACAATATTTTTCTGTTTTCGTCCGTCCAGTGTTGATCCAGAGCGCCTATTTTCTTTATGCCGACTCAGTCGCAACTACTTACAAAATCGATTATCACCTGAGAATCATTCACGAAATGTTTTCTTAAATAAGAATAAAAGGTTTTTGAAATAAAACTGTTCATTAGCAAAGTTGTTTTAAAATTACGGTCTCTTTTTTAAATAGTGTCACTCGATTTAGGTCGAAAAACTGGGTTGTCACTGATTTTTAACAGTTTTTAGCGATCTCAGTCGATTTAGCTCGAAAAACTGGGTTGTGAGTTGTGACTGATTTTTAACATTTACTCACTCCCGCGATTTTTACATTATTACGCAAGTCCCAGCCAATTCTACTTGAAAAATGCTATGTTCAATACTTTTTATAGAATTTGTTGTATCAAACTTTTATGCTAAGTTTTTTGGGAAAATAACCAAATATCCGAAGCTGACTCTGAAATTAGAGCTGACTCTGAAATTATAGAAGAGTATTTTGTTCCAGTGTAAACTGGCTTGCTTTCATATTCACATATCATAGCGAATTTTATTCACTTTGTTTTTAATGTTTAACCTTGTTAAACTATGTACATTTTACATTTTTATACAAGCTTTTATTTCAGTGTCTGACGATGGTGATTATTTCATTGAAAAGCTTTACACAACATTGATGTTTTATTCCTAAGATATCCGAATAGTTGTTCGAGTAGTAACATTTGGCCGAAGCCGAATCCGAATAGTAAGGGCACTATTCGGCCGAAGTCGAATATCGAATAGTTGGGCCGCGGCGAATAACGAATATGAAAAAATCCGAGTATTCGACATCCCTGAATAGTAGCAGTGAAAACATTTACGAGAAAACGACAACAGGTTGAAACTGTGATTGGAATTTGTCAGGAACCATTCCGAGTTGTAACGATTGTGCCGCTACAATCGTTGCAACGGAAAACCCGAGTGTTAGGACGGCGTATCAAGCCTTTCGGAAAGAAATAGGAGTTCTTTTTCCCCGGATTCCAGAATCCGGAGGGGTCTCGAGCCCAGAACTCAAACTGTTATACATAAACTTTTAGCTTCCTGGTCATGTCCTGAGTTGAATTTAATTAACATCCCGATTCATTTTCAGAGAATGAGAAGCTAGGAGTGAGGGAAAGGGTTGTTCATCTTCGATGGAGATGATGATTTTTATCTACTGAACAAAAACAATAGTAATATAATATATAGTAGTAGCCCTGTTTTTAGGAGTGACCTCGTGGTCTGGGGATACAGACCCAGCCATGAGCTCACTATTTTTGCATATAATTAAGTTAATTTGAGCGTTCTGGTCGAAGCCGGAAAGCAGTAACGTTTTGTCGACCCGATGTTAGAAAGACCACCAAAAGAACTGGCTTTGGTAGAGACAGTGAAAAGCATGTAGAGCTGTGTTTAGACGCTAGCCAGTCGTTTTAGAACCTAGCTTTATTTTCCGTCGATATGTACTTCCGGGCGAATGTGACACTCCTGCATTCACTCTTGTTAATTTCTTAACGCATTTCTTGATTTTCAGGTTTGCATGATAATGGATATTTCTTATGAAAATGAAAGTGATGATGAAAAGTTGCCAGAGTTCATTGATCACATACCTAGTATAAATGCAGCTGATCTCAACGTTAGTATTATCAAAACATTATTAACAATTCTAAAAAATTTTGTTTGCTTGTATATTAAGCAAGTTTCTCGGACTGTTGTCTTTTTGTCTTCAGTCTCTGGAAGACGTGGACAGGTTTCTAGACACGTTGGATACCGACCCGTATGTTCCAAGGACAATATCTGACAACCACAGTTGTCTTTCGGCTGAAGAAATTTGTGCTAAATTTAATGAACTCTGCAAAAACAGTGCAAAAAGCTTAGAGAAATTAAAACAACAAGATGCGGAGCTGAAGAAAACTGCCACCAAATGCAAAAAAAGTAATGATATTATATTTTTTATTATCCACTTTTGTTTCAAATGGACCAAAAAAATGCGAGAAAGAAATTCGGAAAGACTATATCAGTCTTCAACTTATTAAGTTTTCATCTTTTTGAAATGCTTTTTTGATTTTTTTCAGTGGTAATTCAATCACCTCATGAAGCTGACGGATAAACAATTATACTTAAAAGCTACGAATAAAAAAATTATATTTCGAAGTTTATACTGTTAAAATCAGTTCAAAATCTCGCCATTGTCTTAAAACTCGGCTATAAAACTTTTTTTGTTTTCGTTACCTTTGATCACCCCTTGAATTATGTTTTAGCAATCAAAAGTTCTTTGAAAGTGCGGCGCGAAGCGACTGAAGCCATCAAAAAATTGAACGCCAACACTCAGCGCGTCTTAGACGAAGATGTAGACGATGCGACCCTGGAGTCAGTTCAAAACACACTCCTTATGTCTACTCAGGACAAAGACTGTCAAAATTCATTGCATTTGAAAGCGGGCGCAACAGTGAAACAAAGTGGAATCGAACTTCAGAAATCAGGCGACGAACTGAAGGTGATTCTCCACGGAGCGCAACAGTCAGATGAAGACTGCTATGTTGTGCTAACCGCTGTTGGAGAACAGACGCACAAACTGCTGGAGAGCTCACACTCGATTCCAGAAATTGAATCATGGATCGAAGAGCTGAACTCGAGTAGTGATTGGCCCAAGTTCTACATGAGATTGAGAAACTTTTTCACGGACTAATTTGCATTATAATCACACTGATTTCTTTGAGTTTATATCATTCTTTTCCACGATTGCTCATCATTATTTGTAGATATAAATCTATGCTTGCGATTTAAGGGCATTTTAGAAAATGTCATGGGCTATCAATTTTCATATGCACAATTTAAACATGTTTTGTAAAGAAGATGTGAAGACAATAAAGAAGTTGTAGATTCAGCATCAATGTTGCCCACTATATTAATTAGTTTTTACCATTTGGTTGCTGTAAATCGCAGGTAGTGTGAAGCAAAGTTTCGCCAATGTTTGTCAGTTTTTTTTGTAGATTTTCATTACAATTTGTTTCAACCTTGTAGATTTTTATACAAATTGTTTGAATTAATTTTTCTCTGCTCTTTTTTAATGTTCAGAAAAATCATCATCAGAAGTTATCGGGCCAGATTGATTCACCGTTTGTCGACGAAGAGTTGGTTGAAACTGCGACGTCCAAGCATTGTGATAAATGTTTCTCCTCGAATTGCGGGAAGTCTCTGATCGTTTGGTCGACCAAGTCTTTCCGTTTTGAAAAATGAACAGTTTTAATGTCACCATTCTGATCATAACGACGGTAGCGATTATTGAGGTAATCCACAAAGCAGCCCGATGAGTCAATTCCTAAAAGAACCCATTTTCGAAGCACGAACTTCTGCTGTACGTTGACTTCATAATGCTTGTTGGGAGTTCCAGGTTCCGTGAAGTCAAGGTGAAACGATTGCCCATCTTCCGATAGAGGATGCATTTTGGATGTGTCGAAATCGTAGAAGTGTTTGAGCTGCTGAGGTTCGTTGCAAGGGTGGTCGAGTGCACGGTACATATATTTGAACTGCGCTTTCCTGGATTCTGAAAAGCAACAAGTATTTTGAGTTAGTAGAGGTGATATTGCACCTTTTTATTTGCTCAAATCAGTAGCTTCAATTTTCCTGCAAGAGGCATTTTTGACCTGTAAACAGAATGTGAGGCATCAAAATGTACAAGCCGGCCAGTAAAATTGAACAAGTGTGTGCTCATGAACTGACCGGCCATTAAGCAAACAAATGTGAGAATGGTTAAAGTAGATGTGTTTGTACCCGACAGCATTGCGGTTTTAAAATAAGCAGTAAAAATTAATTAAGTTCTTAATTACCTTTGCAATAAGCAAGGGTGTTGCAATCGGGTACTAGACTTTTCCCCATAAACAACTTCTTTCACAGAATTCGCTTTTGAAAATCTTTCGCGTGTTTTAATTGCATATAACTTGAAAAAATATAATATTTATTCTCATCTGAATTCAATCAACCCTCTGGCGTAGCGGTACAAACATCCTTAGGGCGACAAAAACGTTTGGTTTCAATCCAGTCCGGGACCTGTTTTACACAAACTAGTCTATTGTCCTTTTTCGGGCTAACTTCGTTATATTTATTTATTGTCGGCTTAGTTCTGGTGGCCCGAGATTTTTCTGAAGGTTCAGCTTTCTTCCGAGTTGCTGTAAAAACCATGCACTTCGGTTCCAGCCGGGGCTTGTTTTTTTTGCAAACTGAAGTATTTCGGCTATTTATATTAGGGTGCTTGCGAGCGTTAGTGTGTTAGTACGAGCCTTCTGTTTTGCTTAACTCAACTCACAAATAAAAGTGTTCACTTATATGGTGGCAGTTTGCTATAATAACGATCTGTAGCGTTTGAAATTTCATAGCACCTGTTCTCTGCTTTATTTGTAGTAAGTGTTTATCATTTATTAAAAGTCAATGGCTGAGTGGTCGCAGATCGAATCCGGAACGTAGCCGAACTTTTACTAATTCGAGGCTTGTTTTTACTTTTTATTGCACTTAAAAGCACTGCTTTTTGCCGTGTTCTCGCTAGTGGCACCTTTGTGTTAAAATTATTATTTCTGCTTACTTTTTCCTTTTCTAGCATTCCGAAAGCGGTTGTAATTTTCTAATGGTGCAGGTAATTTCGCTCTTAATATTTATGGCTTTGTGCGATTGAAAAAAATGACAAAAACAATTTTTTGCGGTTTTTTTTCTCCAATTTTGATTTTTTCAATTGATTCCAATCATGAGAATTCATTTCAGTATCGCAAGTGGTGCAAAGCTCAGTGTCATACTTTTTTTAATTTGGGTAAAATTGAGTTATTTTTCGGGATATTACTTTTCGTGTTGCCTTCTAGCCTGCATTTATACTGGGTGGTCAGCTCGCTAAGTAAAATAATTCATCACAAAGGTTGATAATTAGCATAGTAAACAAAGTTAGACAGTTTCTAAACCATAAACAAACTCCAGACTAATTGCTGGTTGTATTTTTACCCTTGCGATAGCAAGGGTATTGCAATCGGTTAGTAGACTTTTTCCCCCGTAAACAACTTTAAGCTCTGAATGATCAAAATTAGAAATAGTAAATTTAGGTTCAGTTTTTGATTAATTCTGAATGTTTGTGTTTTGGAGTTAACAAATACGGCTGAGACGGCAAAAGTCCTGGGTTCGAATCTGACGACCTGTTTTTTTATCAATTGGGAAATATTCGGCTTCACACAAAAATCGGCTGATTATTTGTCTGCTTACGTTTTGTCGGCTTAGTTTTCATATTGAAGACTTATTTTTTTTCAAATTTTCTACATTATAGTTGCTTTAAATGTTCGTTTTACCTCTGATGTTTAGTTTTACTAATCTTGACTGTTTATGGTTCTTTCGCTTAAAAATTTTATTCCGCCCAAAATTTTTCGGGCTATTTTTTATTGGCTTACTAACCTAATTTTGATTCGTTTCAAGGAGACAAAAAATGCTGAAAATCCTAAAAGGAATTCTTTTTCAAGTTTTCATGACACCAAATTTTTTCGTTTTTTTTTCTTTTTTTCGGCTTGATAGGTTTTAACCTATATTATATCGGTTTAATGGCCAAATTGCACATTTGGCCGAGCGGAAAGAAATTGTGTGTGCGTGTCTGTGTTTTGAGGGTGACGAGGATTTATTAACTTAAATCCTGTTGATTTTTTTGGCCTGAAGAGTATCTGCCAAGGTATTTTTCGGCTTCTTTACCGTTTGGTAAATTTTTTCCGATCCTTATTTCACATGCCATTGTGTTGGTATGTTTTTTAATTTAAAATCTAGCCTTATTTTTTGATAGATCTTAGTTTCTTTAAAATTTTCGATTTTTTTTTAAATTCTGATTTAGAGGCTTTCATGTTTTGTATCGCAAGTGGTGCTAAGCACAGCTTCGCCTCACTATTAAATTTTTAATAAACTGAGATTTTCTTGTTTTTTTAGTTCAAATGTTCCAATCACTGAAATGGGAAAGCAATTTATTATTCGGGTGTTTGAAATTTTTGTCTTTTTTAACCGCGCAAAATCAAGTACCAGTAATAATAGCCGGAAAATTTCTTGTAATTTTTTATATATAAGCCCTTGCAGTTGTGATTCGAAATTCAGTGGAAAATTTCAAAAAACCTTCAATGTAGAGGAAAAAACTGGTGTAAAACTGTTAGTCTCTGGTGTAGTTTTTCGAACAAATGAAGCAATTGAACAGGCCGTTAACACAAAATAAGACGTAAAAAGTTGCTTTATTCGAGAAGCTTCTTTTAGCCCTGTCTCGACAACGACAAAAACTTCAAAAAAAACAAAATTATTCAGCAAAACATATTTGAAACAAATATTTGAGTTTTTCGATTTGTAGAATTTTTTTTTTCAATTAGTTTTGTGCACTTGCGAAATTAAGTGTCCTGTAATCGGTAATTTGACTTTTTTTCCCGTAAACAACTTTTTTCACCTATTTTTAAAAAATTTGAAAGTTGCTTTTTCAGTTAATCTGAGCAGCTTCGAGATTTTTTCCTTCTTGGCCTAGCGGTTACTCTGATGCAATTGAATACTAAGGTCTCTGATACGTCCCGGCCGGACTTTTTTTTCAGTGTGTATTAAACTTCAATTGTTGGACTTTCATTTGTCTGTTTATGTTTTGTCAGCTTAGTTGCCACATCGGGGAATTTTCTTGGACTGCAAGTTTTTTTCAAGTTGTGCTTGTGTTTTGGGTTTACTCTTGTAATTTGTAAATTTATTAACAATTCGTTGTATTTTCTCTGTGATTTTCTTTTGTTTTTTGCTTGAAATATCTCTATTGGTTAAATTGATTTCGATTTTTTAATCGGCTGAATAACCTCCATTTGTTTTTCTTGAAACGCAGAAAATGATTGATTTTTCGAAAAAAAATCAGGAAGTTTTTGTTACAAAAACTCAGTTTTAAAACGTAATTGCTCAAACAAAATTATGACAACAACAACTTGTGGCATGTTTTGTTTTGGTTAAATGCGTGTCTCATCACTTGTTGTTGGCTTAGGTGCCGCTTGGTAAATACTAAAAATTTATTTACATTTTTGATTGTGTTTTTTGACAGTTTTTCTAAAAATATTTTCATTTTTCCCCCAAAAAAATTATTTTAGATTTTTTCTATTTACGTCTCGTTAGCTTGCATTGCAGCGCTTTCGTTGTGTCGCATGGGATGCGAAGCTTCGCGTTGTCTCTGTGATGTGGAAACTGTTTTCAATTTTGTGTATTGTATTTTCACTATCGATTGTACCTATTTTCTAGGCTTCTTTCAGATCCGCTCGTAAACAAACGAGCAAAAACATCACAAAATTGTTATTATTTTTGGTCAGAACTTTCTATGCTACTTAACACAGCAATCAGCTATCTTTGTTTTTGTTTGGCCGTATACTGTATTCTTTATTTCTTAGCCATATCATTTATAAAGGTAAGGATCTGAAAGTGAAGCCAGTGTAAAAAGTTCAATTATCCACAAACCACTATGAACTTGACAGCGTATGATCATCGACTGTGCAATTGGAGTTGATATCAAACCACTTTCCTTCTCAAAACTCATATCGACCAAGTGAAAAATGGGTGCGAACCGGTTGCCTAATTCAGCCATGTGCAAGGAACCTTCTGACGTCAAGTTTGGGAAAAAGTGAAGACTATGAGGCACTTGAACTTTCTTGTGGTTCGCGTGAAGGTTAGTTGGGACCCTGAGCGATGGGAAGGACCTAATATCTCTACCTATGAGTCACAAGGTCATAGTTTAAGGCCTACCTTGATCCGTGCTTTCGGATAGCCGGTAAAAAGACCAAAAAAAAAATGAATATAGGTCTTAACGATGGGACAAGACAGCAGTATTTCACAATGAGCAGAATAATTGGTAAGTTGGTACTTTCATTTGTGGGAAATTGATGTTATTTTGAAATTTATATTTGAGTTCTCAACTGAAAAATATCCGGGTATCAAATTTGTAAAAAACATGCTGGTTATTTGTTGATTAAGCTCAAAAGTGAATCTGAAGTATCATGAAGTAACTTCCATATTTGCAATTGCCAGGGACCCAACTACATTATTTGTACCTGCTGGGTAAGTGCAGTGCCCATGTAATTCTCAATGCCCACTTCATTGAATAACAGATGCAGAAAAAATCCTCGCTGGAAACACATTCCCCCCTGTTTGCGCATGAACATATTAACTAGACCATCGGCGGAATCAGAAAATGTGTAAGAACCATCAGAGAAACCCTTCCAGCCATGGAAATAATTAGACCTTGAATCAGGATTGTATGCATCTATATTAGTAAAAGGAGCCGCTTTATAGAAAGCAGGAATAAAAAGATTATTAATAAAAGTTAGTGGTCCTAATTTGCCAAGACTTTTTTTGGCTTTTTGGATTCCAATGATTTTGCAGTAGTCAGCGAACAAACTCGGCATAACTAGAATATTTAAAAGTAAAAGTTCTGACAACCTTTCACAGATATGAAGCAAACGATTAAACCAATATCAAATGTATTTAAATATTAACTGCAACTACCTACGATCTTTTAAACGCAGGCTTAACAGTCTGACCTTCTATTTTCGAAGCAAGTTATTGAAGTGAGTGACACAAAACTCAGATTTTAAGCCAATGTCCTTTTGATGACCAGTTTTGTGCCGATTACCTGTCAGAAATGAGAACATCTACCCAGAAAGAAGAGGAAACAAAAATGTTTGCCTACGATTTTGAATTGAAAAAGGCTTCCTATTCAACCAACTGTTAGCAACATAACTTTTGTTGGCAACAGAGAGTTTGTTGTGGAAACCGCAAAGAGCGCAAATTGAAAGTATAAGGGGATTCCAGAATTTACATTACGAGGCCAAACTGTGTGTTTTGTTGGCGGATTCTACAACAGGTCCTAAACAGATTTGTCGCGGAATCCGCAAAAATGCAATTTTTTGATCTTCTTAGCTTTTTTGGATTCCACGAACAAATAGCCAAATCCCCACTGTATTGCTCAAAATCGGTCCAAAGCGGCATTTGGAATCCCTTTTGTGAATCTGATCAATTTTTTGTTGCTGATCGTGAGAAAAGCTTCAAAACTCAGTTTTCGCTTTTAATGCAAATTATCGACCTTATTCCAGACTGTATAAGAAGGTTCCGTTTGTTAAATAAATTGTTAAATAGTAGAAAATTGTCTGTAAAAAACAACCCAGAACAGCTGTTCTATCAATTGTGGACAAGTTTTAGACTTGAATTTTGAAATTGCACAAAAGCCATCGGAGCGAAAACAGACGGCGTGCTGGACAGATATCTGCAAGGCAAAACTGCGCATTTTATAAATTGTAAGTGGCTTCATCAATAGGCCAAAATCAGATTTGTCGCGGAAGCAGTAACATTGCTACTTTTCTCTAAGTTTATTTGCTGTTTTCGATAATACAAATAATTGCTAAAACACTGACTGCTCCAAAAACAGACACATTTACAATTACTTCTTGAAATAACTAATTAAGAAAATGTTTTTTTTTTGTGGATCACCAGCGAGAACTTTCAGCAGTGCAACCTCATTAACAGCCGTCAGTAAAATAATTCATCACAAAGGTTGATAATTAGCATAGTAAACAAAGTTAGACAGTTTCTAAACCATAAACAAACTCCAGACTAATTGCTGGTTGTATTTTTACCCTTGCGATAGCAAGGGTATTGCAATCGGTTAGTAGACTTTTTCCCCCGTAAACAACTTTAAGCTCTGAATGATCAAAATTAGAAATAGTAAATTTAGGTTCAGTTTTTGATTAATTCTGAATGTTTGTGTTTTGGAGTTAACAAATACGGCTGAGACGGCAAAAGTCCTGGGTTCGAATCTGACGACCTGTTTTTTTTTCAATTGGGAAATATTCGGCTTCACACAAAAATCGGCTGATTATTTGTCTGCTTACGTTTTGTCGGCTTAGTTTTCATATTGAAGACTTATTTTTTTTCAAATTTTCTACACTATAGTTGCTTTAAGTGTTCGTTTTACCTCTGATGTTTAGTTTTACTAATCTTGACTGTTTATGGTTCTTTCGCTTAAAAATTTTATTCCGCCCAAAATTTTTCGGGCTATTTTTTATTGGCTTACTAACCTAATTTTGATTCGTTTCAAGGAGACAAAAAATGCTGAAAATCCTAAAAGGAATTCTTTTTCAAGTTTTCATGACACCAAATTTTTTCGTTTTTTTTCTTTTTTTCGGCTTGATAGGTTTTAACCTATATTATATCGGTTTAATGGCCAAATTGCACATTTGGCCGAGCGGAAAGAAATTGTGTGTGCGTGTCTGTGTTTTGAGGGTGACGAGGATTTATTAACTTAAATCCTGTTGATTTTTTTGGCCTGAAGAGTATCTGCCAAGGTATTTTTCGGCTTCTTTACCGTTTGGTAAATTTTTTCCGATCCTTATTTCACATGCCATTGTGTTGGTATGTTTTTTAATTTAAAATCTAGCCTTATTTTTTGATAGATCTAGTTTCTTTAAAATTTTCGATTTTTTTTTAAATTCTGATTTAGAGGCTTTCATGTTTTGTATCGCAAGTGGTGCTAAGCACAGCTTCGCCTCACTATTAAATTTTTAATAAGCTGAGATTTTCTTGTTTTTTTAGTTCAAATGTTCCAACCACTGAAATGGGAAAGCAATTTATTATTCGGGTGTTTGAAATTTTTGTCTTTTTTAACCGCGCAAAATCAAGTACCAGTAATAATAGCCGGAAAATTTCTTGTAATTTTTTATATATAAGCCCTTGCAGTTGTGATTCGAAATTCAGTGGAAAATTTCAAAAAACCTTCAATGTAGAGGAAAAAACTGGTGTAAAACTGTTAGTCTCTGGTGTAGTTTTTCGAACAAATGAAGCAATTGAACAGGCCGTTAACACAAAATAAGACGTAAAAAGTTGCTTTATTCGAGAAGCTTCTTTTAGCCCTGTCTCGACAACGACAAAAACTTCAAAAAAACAAAATTATTCAGCAAAACATATTTGAAACAAATATTTGAGTTTTTCGATTTGTAGAATTTTTTTTTTCAATTAGTTTTGTGCACTTGCGAAATTAAGTGTCCTGTAATCGGTAATTTGACTTTTTTTCCCGTAAACAACTTTTTTCACCTATTTTTAAAAAATTTGAAAGTTGCTTTTTCAGTTAATCTGAGCAGCTTCGAGATTTTTTCCTTCTTGGCCTAGCGGTTACTCTGATGCAATTGAATACTAAGGTCTCTGATACGTCCCGGCCGGACTTTTTTTTCAGTGTGTATTAAACTTCAATTGTTGGACTTTCATTTGTCTGTTTATGTTTTGTCAGCTTAGTTGCCACATCGGGGAATTTTCTTGGACTGCAAGTTTTTTTCAAGTTGTGCTTGTGTTTTGGGTTTACTCTTGTAATTTGTGAATTTATTAACAATTCGTTGTATTTTCTCTGTGATTTTCTTTTGTTTTTTGCTTGAAATATCTCTATTGGTTAAATTGATTTCGATTTTTTAATCGGCTGAATAACCTCCATTTGTTTTTCTTGAAACGCAGAAAATGATTGATTTTTCGAAAAAAAATCAGGAAGTTTTTTTTACAAAAACTCAGTTTTAAAACGTAATTGCTCAAACAAAATTATGACAACAACAACTTGTGGCATGTTTTGTTTTGGTTAAATGCGTGTCTCATCACTTGTTGTTGGCTTAGGTGCCGCTTGGTAAATACTAAAAATTTATTTACATTTTTGATTGTGTTTTTTGACAGTTTTTCTAAAAATATTTTCATTTTTCCCCCAAAAAAATTATTTTAGATTTTTTCTATTTACGTCTCGTTAGCTTGCATTGCAGCGCTTTCGTTGTGTCGCATGGGATGCGAAGCTTCGCGTTGTCTCTGTGATGTGGAAACTGTTTTCAATTTTGTGTATTGTATTTTCACTATCGATTGTACCTATTTTCTAGGCTTCTTTCAGATCCGCTCGTAAACAAACGAGCAAAAACATCACAAAATTGTTATTATTTTTGGTCAGAACTTTCTATGCTACTTAACACAGCAATCAGCTATCTTTGTTTTTGTTTGGCCGTATACTGTATTCTTTATTTCTTAGCCATATCATTTATAAAGGTAAGGATCTGAAAGTGAAGCCAGTGTAAAAAGTTCAATTATCCACAAACCACTATGAACTTGACAGCGTATGATCATCGACTGTGCAATTGGAGTTGATATCAAACCACTTTCCTTCTCAAAACTCATATCGACCAAGTGAAAAATGGGTGCGAACCGGTTGCCTAATTCAGCCATGTGCAAGGAACCTTCTGACGTCAAGTTTGGGAAAAAGTGAAGACTATGAGGCACTTGAACTTTCTTGTGGTTCGCGTGAAGGTTAGTTGGGACCCTGAGCGATGGGAAGGACCTAATATCTCTACCTATGAGTCACAAGGTCATAGTTTAAGGCCTACCTTGATCCGTGCTTTCGGATAGCCGGTAAAAAGACCAAAAAAAAAATGAATATAGGTCTTAACGATGGGACAAGACAGCAGTATTTCACAATGAGCAGAATAATTGGTAAGTTGGTACTTTCATTTGTGGGAAATTGATGTTATTTTGAAATTTATATTTGAGTTCTCAACTGAAAAATATCCGGGTATCAAATTTGTAAAAAACATGCTGGTTATTTGTTGATTAAGCTCAAAAGTGAATCTGAAGTATCATGAAGTAACTTCCATATTTGCAATTGCCAGGGACCCAACTACATTATTTGTACCTGCTGGGTAAGTGCAGTGCCCATGTAATTCTCAATGCCCACTTCATTGAATAACAGATGCAGAAAAAATCCTCGCTGGAAACACATTCCCCCCTGTTTGCGCATGAACATATTAACTAGACCATCGGCGGAATCAGAAAATGTGTAAGAACCATCAGAGAAACCCTTCCAGCCATGGAAATAATTAGACCTTGAATCAGGATTGTATGCATCTATATTAGTAAAAGGAGCCGCTTTATAGAAAGCAGGAATAAAAATATTATTAATAAAAGTTAGTGGTCCTAATTTGCCAAGACTTTTTTTGGCTTTTTGGATTCCAATGATTTTGCAGTAGTCAGCGAACAAACTCGGCATAACTAGAATATTTAAAAGTAAAAGTTCTGACAACCTTTCACAGATATGAAGCAAACGATTAAACCAATATCAAATGTATTTAAATATTAACTGCAACTACCTACGATCTTTTAAACGCAGGCTTAACAGTCTGACCTTCTATTTTCGAAGCAAGTTATTGAAGTGAGTGACACAAAACTCAGATTTTAAGCCAATGTCCTTTTGATGACCAGTTTTGTGCCGATTACCTGTCAGAAATGAGAACATCTACCCAGAAAGAAGAGGAAACAAAAATGTTTGCCTACGATTTTGAATTGAAAAAGGCTTCCTATTCAACCAACTGTTAGCAACATAACTTTTGTTGGCAACAGAGAGTTTGTTGTGGAAACCGCAAAGAGCGCAAATTGAAAGTATAAGGGGATTCCAGAATTTAC